CACGCTCCTCTTCTAATTCGTCAAAATAATTGTAGGTTTAACACTGACCTCGATCCAAAGGAAGAAGGCGATTTACTTTTTGCGCGAACCTTATGCTATCTTAATAAGCGGCTCGCACGTAAACCAGGAAATTTGTAGCTCGAACGGATCCATAAAGCAGCTGCGTCATTTACAGAGGACGAATTTTTCCTTATATTTCGTAAGAATAATATTAAGAAAATCACTCTCTTATAACATCTCTATAACATCGGAAAAATTAAATAAAATGCGAATCGTGATCATTCAAAATTGCAATTCGTTGATCTGAATTTTTATCTGTTGTTGATATCTTACTGAGATCAACGTATTTATATTTCTTCTTTTTTTTATCTGGCGCATTTATATACCTTGATAAAAATAAAATGATAACAACAATATAAGGAAACATATCGTGTATTTAATTCAAATATCGTTTCGCAAATTCTATTTTGAATATAACTACGTCGATTCGAGCGATAAAAACAATTCTGAAAATAATATAGAATATAATTACACTGTTATGATGAAATTACTATCCTAATCTTAATTTACTTTTCCACTTATAATCTTATTTTATCGCTCTATTCTCATTTTCTCGCCAATATATAATTTATAATTATTTTTAAATATCCTCAAACTCGAAAATTTCGATATTATTTCACGACTATTCTATTACCGTCATACTTACGTACACGCAGTCAGAATGCAACAATGCACGACAGAAAACGTGGAAAATTAACGAGCCTCAATTATAGAATAACGCCAAGTTGCCAATCCAAGAAAAATAGGGTGAAATGGATGGAGATTCTTCTGATTTTGGCGCTGAACCCGTGGAAATTCGTTCGAGTTTTTAACACGCGCAACCAAATCTCGTTCGAACTAATTCTTAAGTAAAAAAAGCTTACTTATTATCTTAATTAGATTAACGGGAGTGAGAAAACGAAGAGAAGGGAAAAGAGAAAATGTTACGTAATCGTGCTTTGTTCGTTGTGTAATCAACTTTAAGGAATTCTTTCCCCGTAGGGAATTAACGAATCAACACTTTGGATATAGAAAACTGTACAATTCGAATGGAGATAAAAGAAGAAAAAGAAAAAGAGAGAGAGAGAGAGATTATTCCTTTAACTATGAAGAGTGAAGAATAAATTGAGCAAGATATATGATTTTATTTGAAGGAATAAAGCCAATGATCTTGGAAATCTTTGGAATGCCTCCACTTCCGGAACGCGCCATCCGAAGCCATTTATTTTTTTTAACAGCTATAATTTGTTTCGATCGTTCCAACCGTTTTAAAAATTATATATCTTTATTCGTGCGAAAGACCCTGTACAATTATACTATAGTCGAATTTAATTCAAAGATAAGATTAAGTTTTAAAAATGAAATTAATAATTGTATTATCTTTCAATAGATTAGTATGATGCTGAAAAAAATTAAAAATATCCTATCAGTTCTAAATTCTAATACTGAAATGGAAAGATATATTAAAAGAGACTTAAATATATGAATGTTCATAAAAAATGTGAATTTTCTAAAATAAAAAAGAAATATATATGTGGATAATGCTTAACGAAAAGATACAATCGAAGAATTTAAAATAAAAACGTAAAAAAAATAGATATAGGAATAGAAGTAGAACGGTGAAAAGGAAGTACGATGTAGCTGTTAAAAGTGCCTAACGTATCGCGACAAAATGCTCAGTCTGAAGCGTTTACTTTTCAGAGGCTACAAAAGATATTTTAATACGCATGCTCTGACCGAGTATGATACAAAAGAATGCTTTGCTTTTGTTGCAAAGGAACGTTTTAGACTGAACGAATCGCAGACTATCAAAATCAGATGAAAAATACAAATATTTATTAAAATCTATAAATGATATTTGATAAAATAGTCTCTTCAATCAATAATAGAAAAGAAAAAATTTTTATTAATTGAATCGTATATAAGAAAATTATTTTTACTCATTTAATTATTTATAACTCGATTGATATTTGATATATATTTTGATATATTTATATATGAGCAGAAATTCTATTTCTATATTTTTCTTGAATATAAAATATAATTTTTTCTCATACGACAATGTAACGAGAATGTTTAACACACATATTCGTAACGATTATTGCACAAAACGATTCAAGATTCACAAAATTATAAAACAAAGTTATAAAACAACAATCACTGATAAATAAAAGAATTTAACTTTGTCAACAAAATCGTTTTCGATTTATCGTTTTATTAATAATATATTTAATGGCCTTGAATGATTTTGTGGGATAGGTCATTGAACTTAATCACTCGATGCTATTATTCTATGCTGATTTATCTAATCTAACCTACATTCGTTGAATTAAACGTACCTTAACTGCTACTATTCGTTCTAACATTATAAAAAATTTCTCTTTTAGATCTTAATTTATATTAAAATAATGTTCATTATTTTTCATATAAATTAAATGTATGAACAAAAAATTAATTCGACAAAAATGACATAAATATAAAACAATTAACTTACAATACTCTTTATACGATACGATATAAGATTTTATTAAAAAAAATGAGGTTGACCTTGACCATCCACCCACGGACCAATTTGTTTCCAGTGTATTTAGAAGCAGCTAACAACCATAGAATAAATTTTCAGTTCAGTTATTTCGTATTCAAAGATTGACTGCTTTTGCAAAGATTGACTCGAGTAATAGTAAAGATTTTAATAATGGTTTATGTCCCATAATTTAACTCGATTCAATAGATCGGTTAATTTTCCTAATTGAAAGATTTAGAAAACTTAATGATTCACGATCACCGTTCCGGGAAGCTACGAACCACGTGCTTCTGTTTGGATGACAGTCAATCAGTTTATCAAATGGAATGGCCAACATTTGACCCGGAAACTATGAACCTTCGTTATCAGTGTGCAAGGAGAACGAACTCGTGGTACCACGTGCTGCCGTTTAATAATCGCCTACCGGGTTTTATTACGCTAAAAAGAATATATATCGATCTTGTGTAGTACACGTCGTGTAGATTTCGAAGAAATGTCGATGACAATCATATACGTTTGCTAGATGCCACAATTACACGATCGAAAATGCTTGAATAAATTGCACTTGAATTGAATTTTCATATATTTAATTTTGAATTTTCAAATATTTGATTAAAAATTTGACAATCTAAATAATATTACAAAGATATTTTTTTACATTGTGTTCCGTATGAAATATCATATTAAGAATTTTTTTAATAAATTATTAGAAGTGAAAAAAATTATTTTTCGAATTTTGTAAGAAAATAAAGTTTTTGAAAAATAATAAAGAAAACATAAAAGAAGCGTATATCAATTAACGGAAAACGAGATTATTATTATCAATGTTAGATACTGGTCACAATGTAAAGAGATACATTAACCTGGTATAAAATTAGATCTTTGATAAAAGAAATTGTACTCCATTTTATTTCATAAAGCTTTTGTTTCTCATAAGTAAAAAATACGAAGAAACTAATCGATTTATATTTTATTGTAGTAGATATAATTAACTTTACTCGAATATACAAAGCAATTACTATTTTTAAATTTGTTTGTTGAATTATATGTATTTTGTACTTTTGTACAAAAATAATTTATAAATTGTGTCATAGTTTTGTGGCAATGACAATGACATTGAACCAAAAATATTCATAAACAAAGAGAAACATACCATGACGCAGCGACACTTGTTCTTCTAATCCTTGTAAAAGTCACAATAGCAGTTTCGATCCTCGAAAATATCAAGATGTTCTCATTTGCCAAAACATTTACAACACACCACGTATCATCATCTTATATTTCACAATATCAACTTTAAATAGTCTCGCGTATGATAAAATTTAAGTTGATCTTCTACAATTCATTCAAATTTTATCGGGCCGAAAACGCTCGAGATTAATTTGTTTCTTAAAAATTCTTCAATTCATATAAATTTTTTGATATTGGACACTTTTATATGATTATTTTTTATACATAAAAATAGTTAATAAATTCAAATTTTTAAACAAAAATTACTGATAAATGTTTAAAAAAATTTTCTCATAATTTTTGATTATCCGATTAAAATTTCCATATCTTCATAATTTTTGATAGATTTTTAAATCATCTTAAACAGAATATTAACTTAATGCAATATAGAATTGCAGAATCAATCGATCGTTCTTATTTAAGATCAAGTCCCGTTGAACAATTTTTTGACATCCTGCGAAATCCTGTCGCCATCATGGATGCAACAATATGACACATTTCACGAAATTTCAAAAAACACTGTTAATTTCATTAATTTTCCATTATACAAAGATTTTACTTGATTTTTATCGCAAGAATGATGTTTAAATAAGATTTCTTAGATATCAATCCAAGATTTTCCGACTCTTTTATCTTCTCTTGATATATACGTACGCATATGTACGCACATGCACACACATGCAAAATCGTACCGTTAATATCCGTCCATTTTCATCGGGACTATTTCTGTTACCAATGACCGATCGAACAGACTGTTTTGTTTACTTCCAGACCGTTATGAAAAACAAGCGTATATCCGGACTCGTTCGCTGACAGAAGCAAAGGACGAGAAAGGAAAAAAAAGACCGGTTATTCGATACGGCTTCGCGAATGACTTATTTCAAATGGATTACACGAGTTGTGAAGAATTATGCGAATAAAACTAATTTAATTCGATTATTTATCTTTACGTTGCAACACGATTCATATTCCGCACGTATATTTTTTACGTAATATCAACAATCACTGGACATTTTCATCAACGATTGTATATAAAAGATTTTAAACATAAATCAGAAGATACTGTTCGTTTACACTGACGTTATTGCCGCAACAATAAAAGTTATTAATAATCTTCTATCGATTAACCGGTTAAACAAGGAAGAGAATAATCAAACATTCGATTGTTTCGACAAATCGTATCTTGGAAAAACACTTTTCTTTTTTCTTTTTTATCTTTTTTATTTCTTTATTATTAATTAATGCTATTAAAACAAGTGTCAACGTTTTAAAATTATTTTACTTCCCGATACTGTTTTTGTTCCGGTTAACCTCACTCTATCACATCGAAGTCTCATACGCGTAAAAGTTCGTTTTTCTCTAATGAAATGGTCGTAACGGTGTCGCGTAGAGCGCCTCGAGTGCGCACATGAGGACGGCCGAACTAATACTGATAGCTGGCAATGCTTTCGCCAATGCATACGACTGTTGCCTCCAAGATACGAAGTTCTTAGCCTCTGCTCTTACCCGCGTCTTTCCTTTATATACAAATGCGCTTTCTGTACGATCATCGGGGAACCACGCGTTAATAACACAATAATTTATTGATAATCTCTAGATAATAAAAACACTTTTATTTTTTATTATTTAGTAAATCATTATAGTCATATGACAATCATATTTTTTTTTTTTAATACCAAATTTTTTTTCGGTCATGAATATTGATATTTATTTTATTTTTTCAGATATTAAATTTTTATAAAATTTTTTTTTAAATACAAATATTTTTTATATTTTATATGTTTTCTTAAATTATATATAACAAATTTTTCTTCTTTCTAACATACGAAACAATGAATAAATAATATTATCATCTCTCTCATAAATGCCGATGATATCTGTTTATACATTATTAATATATACAATTATATTTTTAAATAATGAAAATGTTTTCCAATGCGCAGCATTTTTTATTTATCAAGAAATTAAATTATCTCATAAATAAAAACGCGTAATTTCCTTAAATGTTAAATTTTTCTATTAGAATTTAAACGCATTCGTGGAAAAATCATTCTTACGCAAGATGATATTGAATATTTTTTCCTGATTTATATAACTTTTTTCCTTTAATTATATAGAACTCCCCTTTTAGAAATTAACATTTCAAGAATATTTTAATACCGGTTGCATCTTTAAAGCTTTGTCTGATAATTTTATCTGATTTCATAGAAAACGTGTCGATAATTACAATTATGATCATTTATACAAGATGAATGATAAAATTTAGCATAATTGAAAAACAAATTAAGTCTTTGTTTTTTGAGAACAAATATCTATATATAATAATATATATACAATTAAGGAAAATTTTCAAAGTCAATTTTCTTGAAAACTTTTATTTAAAATTTTTAAATTTATTCTATTTTTGTTTGTTTTCATTGTAAAAAATAACCACGTATATAATACTTAAATCAAGAAATAACTAATTTTAATTTTCATATATTATTTTTTTATCTGAAAATTATTAAAAGTTGAAGATAAATATATAATTCGGTAAAAATGATGGAAACATTGCGTAAAATGTAAAAATATGGTCAACGATGCAGAAATTGCAATTACGACACTTTGACATTTGGTAACCAAATGTTTTTATATATAAGCTATTTATAAAATCCCTATAAAAATCCCTTACAAATATTTTTCCTTTATATTTGAACTTGAGTAAAATGTTATGAACTCTCTGAATATACTAAAATTAATTAAATAATTTTACCAAAGTTAATTTATATATCCTTGATAAAGTAAAAGTGCTCTTTGAACAAATTTGTCATTCTAGAAATATTATTATCACCTGTATCTATTATCTGTACCAAATAAACAAGATAAATCCTCAATATAATTTTGAACACATCTCCACTATTATCATTATTTACGCTGCTTTTGGATTTTTTGATCTTTTTTTATCGTTTCAAAAAAAATAATAAATCGTGTCAAAAAATGTCTTTTTCAATCGTTTTAATAAAAATATTGTATCGATATTTTATCCGAAATAAAACTTGAAATCGAAAATTAATAATGTAACGAACAAAGAAGGATCCGTCGAAAGATATTTTAGAAAAATATCTGAGAAATAAGATATCCTCGTTTTTAATTCAGATCTTCGAGTTTCTTGAAACTGATTTCACATGCAAAACGTCGAACTAAGTTGTCACGAGCTCGAGACAAACGACTTATTTGCCGGGAAAACTTATCAAGCTATATTTAAATTTCATACCTGAGAAAACTCGAGAAAACAATTCACACAAAAATCTTTTGCCAATTTTTATATATTATATCCAAAAACAATTAGAGTATATACACATAAAGATTTTTTTTTTTATATTTTGAATAAAAAAACTTTTAAATCGACATACACCATTGTACACAATGAAATTTTATTTGAAAATTTATTTTTCTGTATAATCGATTTATGAACGTGATATTATTTAAACAAATAATGCAAATGGATACAAAAATTTTACAAAAATTTTATATTATCGTTCAATAATTAAATAAATTTTGTGAAAGATCACAATGATGATTCGTAATATCGTAATATTCGTAGAATAGTATTGTAAATATAATACGTAAATATAATACGTATTCACATGAAACATATTATACATCTGTTGAATAAATCTATACGATTTCATGTCAAATATTGAAATATACAAATATGATTTTATTTCAACAATCAACAAATTTATAAATGATTCGATTAATTTACTTATTTTCTTTTCGATGAATTAATATTAAAAAATACGAAATATTTAATAACAAAAATATATATATATATACGAAAAAAATTTAAATAACCGTGAAGATTAACCGTTAAGATATCCTTGATAATTTTATAATTTTATAATGATTATACAATAAACTATTTGTAAAAATATTACGTAATCACAAATGACAATCGTAAATTTCGGCAAACTTTTGCGATGTAATCGAATAAACAATTTGTAAAATAAATAAATAAGAAAGTGAGAAAGAATATTATACGTTACATATTATTAAAATAAACATTTAAACTTGAAAATTTACAAAGTATATATCTATATTTCGTATCTGCATTATTCATTATTTATCGTTATCGTGGATAAAGATATAACAATCTTGTAGATATATATTTCATAGTCAATTTCAATAGGTTAATTACAAAAAAAAAAAAAAAGAAAGAAAATATAATAGAAAAATAAAGTATATATAAAAAAAAAAAGAAAGAAAATATAGTAGAAAAAAAAAGTATATATAAAAAAAAAAAGAAAGAAAATATAATAGAAAAATAAAGTATATATAAAAAAAAAAAGTAGAAAAAAATATTGAAACGATATACGAACAATATGCAACAATTAGATAAAAAAAGATAATAATCTTTTTATCAATATTTCAATATTTGTTGAGTTTTAACAATATAATGAGAAAAAATTTTCGATAATATAACGTTATTAGATTAAAAAAAATATATGATATATAAATAATTATTCAAATAAATGTAATAAATTACATATAATGATTAAATTAATTTTGAATTAAAAGTTAAAATAATATACGAAATAATATACTATGTAAAATTAAATTAATCTATTTATAATCGTTTTCGATTTAACAAAAGTATATCTACTTATAATAATATAGAATAGTCTCGATAAAAGGTTAAAAGCGTGATAAGATAAGTCGTGGCAGCGAACTTTGCTGATCATTCCATAATTTTATAATACCTATACAAAAATTACCTATATAATTTCTGCGATGAGCAAATAATATAATATTCGCGTATTTATAATAATAATAAAATAATATTTCATCGATATTTCGCTTATGAATAACGATTCCATTGATGAACCATGGACTCAGAACAAATATGTCGAGAACCGTGAAACTTTTCTTAGCAATTTTACTTTTCCATCGTCACAAATGCACAATAAGCGTGATAAATGCGAAAGATCGAAAATTATTTAAAATATGAATAATTAAAATTGTGGATGATAAATAAAAAAATTTCTAAAATTTCTTACGATTATGAAAATTCTATGAAAATTCTAACTAGAAATTTATCTATTCTGAGTTTTGAGATTGGACCTTTTACATCATTCTTATTACATAATTATTACATTAAAAAAAAAAAATCTATATTCTTAATTAATTTGACATTATCACAGGGGGAAACAAAATTCATCGAAACTAATCATTTAATCTTGAGATATTTATAATATCAATCGTACACTTTGGCGCCATAATTAAAAATATATTTCTGTAAATATAAAATTCTGTCTTTTAAAATGAGAATGGCCTTAAAATAAAACTGATTTGAATGAAGTAGATTTATTAGATGCGCATTTATTAGATGCTTTGGATTTTTTCCAAAATTAAAGAGCATACGAAACAACAACAATCCTGAATATTATATCTTATAGGAGTCCAAGCTTTAAATAGTTAAAAAGGATTCAAGCGCATAATCCCTCTTTCCTCGTCGCTCAATTTCCCTTACTCCATTAATTCCAATTAATTTTCGAAAGAAAATATCCGATTGGATAAAGTGATATTTATCTTAATATATGTACATATAATGAACAATTGTATAAAACTATAAAATCTATAAAACGAAATCTATAACTTGAATTTTGTCAATTTTACTTTTTTAATCTTATAATTATTTATCTTACAGTTTGTTTTTTTTACAATCTTTATACTTCTTTATCTTATATTATATAGAATTCGAATCAAAATATATTTTCATCCATTTTATTTTATTTAATTAACTTGCTTGACTCGTCCAATATTTCAAGAGATTAAGAATATTTCAGAAATTGATCGGTTCAACTTCTGAATGATTCAAAAAACAAGATTATAAAATCAAAAGATTAACATTTAATCTGTGATAAATTTGAAAAAAAAATCGCGAGAATCACACTATAAATGAGAAATACATATTTTTCCTTTGCTTTACTACGTGAAATTCTTAGGGATCGAAGAATCGTGTTTTCCAAAAATCTGAAAATTGCGATTCAACGAAACGTGTTGTAACACGATGAAACATAATTAGGCCGTGGCAACAAGAGAACGTTAGAAACATTTAAAAAAAGGCTCTTCCTTGTCGAGAAAGAACATGAAGATCCCTCGAGATCCCTGCATTGCGGATCTTCGTATCGCACGGGACGCATTGTTACATCGTGATCGTCTTTTTGTTCATGAAAAATGAAAATCGCGAACAATTTTCAGAATTGATCGAAAATTCGATAATATCGTATTAATAATTCCCGACTTTTAGATTTTTTTTTGTATGTTTTTTTCACTTTTTTATTATGTATCCATTATACAAATAATTCTTGTACGAAATTGATAAAAATACAGAAATAAGTGAATTTGAATCAAATTGACCCATATAATCAAAGTTGATTTAGTTGAGTGATCAAATTATTATGATTATGAATGGAAAATTAAATGTTAAATGTTATATTAAAAATTGTTAATAATTTGTATGAATTTTAAAAAACTTAAAACTTTCTTATTATTAAAAAAATATTCTATTTCATTTGAAAATTATATTATAAATTTCTCTAAGAGAATTTTAAACGATATTTAAATTTTTTAAACGAAGCAAAACTACTATAATTTATTACAGAAAAATGAACATTTTTCAAATCACAATTTGCAAATTATGAGGATATATTTTTTTCTTCTACTAATTAATATGCAATATATAATACAAAATATATATATACTATATTATATATTATATATTAATTATTGGAAAAAAAAATATCTGGATCATAGACGTGCTTTTTGCATAATTACGTCAATGATCGTATTAATAAAATTTCAACAATAATTATTCAAATAAACTTAAAATAGTTATTATTTCTTTATTATTATTATTATTTCTTATGTCGAAAAATATTAAATAATAACATTAATTCTTTACAATTCTAATATCTCTAAAAAACTTCTAGATAATGATACAAAATTACATATATTTTTAATTATATTACAAATAAATTAAAAAAAATGTTAAAAAAAATTTGACATTGAAAAAATTTAATTTCTAACAAAAAAAAACTATATGAATAGATTCTATTTCTATCAATATTTTTATAAGATTTAAAAGATTCAAAGATATGATAAAGTGATGAATCACAATAAAAAATCATACATTACCAACTAGTAGTAATAATCCATGAATGAAGAATCATTAATTTCTAACCTAATCACATCTAAATCATTAAATAGAATCTATAATGGAAAAAATGGAAACATTAAATTTTTTTAAAAATAATAAAGTATCGAAAAATTAATTATAAAATTTTAAAATTATATATTATAATTATTTTTAAATTTATT